CCAACATTTTTGATACAAATTCTCCCCACTTATGAATTGAACCTGGTTGTCCTGTGCGCTATGGCAAAGTGTTTAAAAGCTACACCACAGTTTCCAGTGGTTCACACTTTTTCATGTAAAAAACAATTTTAGATATCAGTTTGATGATGGATGTTTAAGCCAGCTGAGTCTCTAAGAAGACTTTACAGATGGCTATATTTGGACCGAAAAATGCGAGAAATATTTTTAAAAACGTTTTCACCCACGCACACAACTTGTCCCCACGTACCAGGATGCAGATGGGCTACATCAGTGTTATACGTGTATCTCAGCAAACATTTTTAGCTTATTGAGAAAGTTGAATGTGATGATCATATGTTCACCAGAAAAAGGAATGAGAATCGGAACTGAAAACATTAGATCTAGTACATTCATCTCCTGAATTCTCATCATGGCATAAGTGTAAAGCAGCACACACCAGATCTACTCGACGTTTAAAAAATTATTCCAATTGTTGTAAACAAAGTGATTTTTGGCCTCCAAGACAACACTAATCATTCAGAAAGGAAACTATATAACTTAAACAAGTGCGCATGTCAAAAAGGAGATCATTGCTACATTTTTAATGCTATATCACACTGTCGCTAATAGGCGTCTTATGGGAGCAAAGTGTTAAACACAGGGCAGGTTTTTCTTTTGAGTGTCTGCAGCACGGTCCTCAAACAGGATCTGAAATCAAATTGCTACTTCGATAGCATTGATGGAACAAAATCTTTGCCTATACAGTAGTTTTTGTTCTTTGTTTCCCATGATATACTAACAGTTCAGAAGGTGGTGTCGGTGGCCTAGTGGTTAGGTTACCCGACCCGTAATCATGAGATTGCAGGTTTGGGGGTTCCAGCTTCAGCCTGGCCCGAAGTTGTGTCTTTGGGAAAGACACTTAACTTGAATTTCTCATTTGGCTCGGTCCTTTCGGAACCCAGAAGTCCCGCCTCTTAAATAACATAACAGTGTTTATAGGGACCTTGAACCTATATACCATTTCACCATTTTCACAGTTCAGAAGCAAAGTACTTTCGTCTGAATCCTTCTTTTGTTTTGCTAAGGTAAAACAAATCTTGTCTTATTGAGAAATTATACAAAAATGAATCCAAAGGTAACATTTGGTCTGTGGAGACCGTTTTCTTCACAATGTGATTCTTGCTACAGTGGAATCCTGTTATAACGAGAGGGAGGGGACCGGTGCGAACTGTCCGTTATAGCAGGATTCTCGTTATTAGGGATTCAGTAATAAATTCAAGGGAAATAGTAAAGTAGGCCTAATCTATGAGTTTGGTGTTCTGTTTATTCCTTTTTGTATTTCCCCGGATGGTGATGATTTTGTTCAACATGATCTCTAGGTTTTACTTGATCAAAAATCGAATCAGGTTTCTTTCTCTAGCACTAGCAATGTTGACAAATCGGCTTTGGCGATCAGAAAGAAGGGGCTCTGGCTCTAGGCTAACTTGCTCGCTATGTTGTTCCCCACCCCACCACACCCCGTGGTGCGTTGCGTCTGCTTGCGCACGTCACGCATTCACTCCATCTATCACAGCATCCCGCACCAGAGAAGTGAGAGGCACGGTATGCCTAGATAATCTAGACTGGGCTGGCCTATCACGCGATGCGTTCTACTTGTCTGCGCATGCCACACCCTCCCTACTCATTCGCTCCGGCCTTCATTGTTGGTTCGCGTGGGCTCTCCCGTTTTTTGTTTTGCTGGATCACCAAAACAACTTTCTCAACTGGCGAGATTTTATAAGTTTAAGTGGTCTGTGTGCTGTGTACAGCAGCATCAATGTTCCGCTATAACCGACTCGTAAGACTGTCTGATTGCGCAATAGCAATATTTTATTTACAAAGATAAAGAAGGGAAAAAAACGGGGTTTTAGAATAGTGTCTGTATAACAGACTTCTCGTTGTTTCAGGACTCGTTATAAGTGGACTCCACTGTATTATCGTCATTATCACACCACACTCATATCTTTCTCTGTGTATGATTTGCTGGACCTCTGATGTAGTCTGCTCCTCTTTTTTTTTTTTTTTATCAAACATCTATTGTCCATATCTCTTCTTCTTTTTTTTTTTTGTATGTAACTTTTAATAACTTCTCATACCTTCAGCACTTGAATGACTTTTTTGTGTTGCAAGTGCCTTAAAACTTTAACAAACAATGATTTATTTGTGTCGCAAATACTATTACAAAAAATTATTAATTCGTGTTGCAAATGCCATAAAACTTTTACCGAAAATGATTTGTGTCACAAAAAAGCCATAAAATTCTGACAAGAAAATGATTAATTTGTGTCGCAAGTGCTGTAAAACTCTTACAAAAACCAAAATTGTGTTTCCCCGACAGTTCGCCGTAACCAGAGACGCTTCCTGCTGGCCGCTCACAAAGAGGTTCACAAGGATGGAGAGGAGCTGATCGGCACCTACAGCTTTAAGAAGGAACAGAAAGAGGCAGATACTGACGAGACAGCAGAACAGCAGTGAACAGCAGTGAACAGCAAGCAAGTAGCAGACACTCTTTGTGATACACATAACACGCTGCATACTGAGGAAAGGGACTGTGGGTGTGGTTTTTAAAAAATAAAATACAAAATCAACAAAATTTCTGAAAAAGAAACTTTAAGCACACTCTTTCTTTTTTAAACTGCGGAAAATGTACTTTGCCTCAGTGTTTTCAAAATGTGTACTACTATGGGCTTTTCTTCTGTGAATATGAAATGTACTTTTATTTTACACTTTTACACAGTGGCCAAATAAGTGTATAAAAACATATTTCATACGTTTTTGGGGGACAGTGTAAGGAAGTCCATTTTCGTTATCGAAAAGCTATATTCTTTGTTTTATAGTATTGCTTCTTACTAACTCGCTGATCTCAAGAAAAATTATGAGCTTTCGAGATCTAATTTGCGAAAGATTATGAGAACGATGCTTAGACGTTGACCAAAGGATCATTTATTGCCGATCTACTTTGAACAGCTTGAAGTTATGGAATGTAAAAAGTGTGTGTGTGTGGAGGTTTGGAGGGTGGTCACTGTGCCAATGCCCACCATTTTGCCCCACTGTGTGGATAGTCTTTTTTTTTTTCTTTTTGAAAAACTAGTGGCTATCCTTTTGATTTCCAAATTAGAAAAGGCTGTGAAGAGTGCCATGGTCCCCTCAACTTAACGGACTCATTCACTTGAGTACACTCAGGAAGACTGTATATTCACCCCACTGCATGCGGAGATCTGCCGTGCGCCGACCAAACACCTTTTTAATACCCTACTTGTATGACAAAAAAATCAAATGGAAACTTTGACTAGTTTTTTTAATAGAGCAGAATTCGAATTTTGGAAGAATCCTTTTTGAAAATAGTTGCGCTGACAAAAAGACTCTTTATCTCGAAACTGCTGCGAATTAAAAAAGGCGTTTTTTCAGCTGACAGCAGAGATGTGTGTTAGATGTGCAGGAGGGTAACGTGCAGTAACACACATTCAGGCATGCCTTCAGGCCCAGAGGGTCAAGGGACCAAAATGTTTTCCTTTGAAAAAATTGATGCTGTTTGAAAAAAATACTATAATCTAATCACAGATTCCCACAGATTCCACGAGTATTTTGTGCTTATTTACAAATGTTTGAAGTATGTGCTCCCACGCCAACGTTGGAAACTTTATTGACAGGGGAAATTGAAAAATATTAGTTTTTATGTTTTGATGTTTATTATCATGAACTGAAAATAAACTAGTTGATTAATATTTATGTGCACTGATGTTTTTAGTTGGGTCTTGTATTAAATGATATATTTCAAAGAGATAGCTTTGATTTATTTATAAATCTGATTTGAAGCTCATCCACCGACCCTCCTATCTCTTTCTCCCTCTGAAAGATTTTTTATGTGTTACTGTTTTTCTTGCAACCTGTAATGTATACTCACTAATGCCTTGATGATGATGTCTACGAACTTTGTTTGTCAGTTGAGACCGCTCCTGGTGTACTTCTCTATATGATTTAATCATGTAATGTCTTTTTACTTGCGTTGTGTTTAAATTTGGGGTATTTTTTATATATTATTTTGCTCATATAGTGGTATAAGGCATTTATTTTCAGCCTAGAAACTGTGTGTTAAGTGCTACTGATGAGGCAGTGTACAGACTTTATATCAAGATATTTATTGATTCACCTCTGTTTTAATCCTCTTTGGGGCCACCTGTGATATTGATCGACAGCATTTTTTTTTCAAATTATATCGGCTTTAAAAGCAATCTTTGTAGCCAACAGTATGCTGATTTTACAGGAGACATGATAAACATTTCAAATACCAGTATTTCTGTACATAACTTTGTATTGATCACCACTAAATGCAGATGAGAAGGAAAATGGAATAGTTCATAATTATTGGCCTAATCCTTTATGACACTCATTGTCAATATAGGTTCAATCACAGCTTTCAGGGTTCGGAGGTTCAAGCCTCAGCTCAGTACAACGTTGTGTCCTTGGGAAAGGCGCTTAACTCGCATTCCCATTTCACTCGGTCCTTTCGGAGATTGATGTTAAACTCTGAGGTCCGGCCTCTTAAATAACTTAATAGTATTGATAGGGGTGATAAACCTATTCCATTTTTATCATATCGTTTCACAGCTTTCAGAAAGTGAAATGCTGACATCTTGTAGAGGGAATTCCTCATGGTCTAAATGAGGGTTTGAGGGGATGAGGACATTTCACTGTTGTATAAATGGAGACAATTATATTATGTAATATCAATGATAGAATGAAGTGGCACTTTTAAAATTGCCTTTGGTAAAATGGGCAAAATTTAAAGTCCTGTTTCTGTTACTGTTTAGTTAGACATCTGATCTTTTTCATTCAACAGTGCGGTTTGCTTTTTTTACTGTATTATAGTATCACTATCGCATTTCCTATGTAGTGGATGATGCCCATAATTCGTAGCTTTACTTTTTTTTTCTCCCTATGGCTTAAAGATTATTCTTTTTTAAAAGAAAAATATTATTCTGAAATAAAAAGATAAAGGGATCTTAGTCTTTTAAAAAAAATAACTGACAACTGCTTTTGATTAACTGAGCTTCGGTAATGGAAACTTACCTTGGGGGTTCTTTTTTCTCACAGTTTGATCTGTATGGAGACTTTAGGTGATATTCTAAGAGTCAATTTAATGGCCCTGTTTTAATTGATTGGTGGAATTGGTTGGTTTCTTTTTCCCCATTTGCAGGAATAGACAGTCTTAACGGAAGAATGTAATTTGCACATGGTCTTAAAAAATTATCCGTCCAGATGTAATATTATGAACCAATAAAATATAATGAATAGAATACTGAATTTCTGGCTTTTAATAAGTGTTTACATTTATTTTTTGTGCAGTTTTGTTCAGTTGATTGAGGTTACACAAACTATACAGCAATCTCTTCTCTCTCTCTCGTCCATCATAAAGAAACACACAGAAACTACCAACAATGTGTGTGTGCCTGGAGAAAGGTCCCAGCTGTTGGCACAGCTATTTTTGAGCAACGGGGTGAAGGCCAAAGAAGTTGTACCTGGTTGGGAATTTCCTTCCATCAGAAAACACACGTTTCACCATATTATTGAAAGGATTTTCAAACATAATTTTAAGTCGAAATATTTTTTTATTAGTTATTTTGCAACATGTTGTAGGCCTACTTCACCAAGGGTAAAAAATGTGCTAGAAATGGGTTTTTTCTTCAAACACCCTGTGTTACTACAATGTGGCATATTATTATCTTTAAAACTCAAGTTATGCAAACAATTTTAATTTCCCTGTGTTCAGCATTGAATTTGCTTCAAGAATATGCCTTTATTTCAGTATCCAAAATTTCCAACAACTGGGACCCTTCTCCAGGCACTCACACAAAAATAATCAGGAGTACACGACATTGATATATGACAACACTGATCACATAAATTTGCTGAAAAAAATGTAATATTCATTTAATTGGTTTTAAATACATGCCATTCTAAGAAGCAAACAAAAAGTGCTATTTTATGCGTTAGAAATACAGAAATTATTTCTTCCCATGTCATCCACAGTCTGTATTTTCCTTTTTTTCTGCCATATGTAATAGGACCAAGGGTTGTAGATTTAGCGACAAATTTATATGTAGATCCCCACTGAACATTCGTTAATAATAATTTCCCTTGCCACAGAGTCACATAATTATGTACTTGGCGGTGACTTCTGTCATAATCTTGGTTAGAAAAAGTTACACATACAGAAACATGCCCGGTTAGAAAACCCTTTGAAATACATTTTCTCTCATTTCAAAACTCTTGATCATGTAGGTAGTTACACATAACGTTGCTTATCTTTGGTGTGTATTATGGAATCGGTCGAAGACAGTTTGCTACCATACCACAGTGAAAAAGCAAGTAAAACCTTATGACACTTTTTCAGAAATTTCTTTTTTTTTTTATAATGTCAGAGTCAGGCAATAGAACTTAGGCCTACCATAATTCTTTTTAACGAAGATGCTCAGTTTCATCATGAAGAACTTAAAAAGCAAGCTGAAACAAGAAGGAAAATATGACTCACGAATTCTTTCTAGATCTAGTAGTTTCATGACTGAAAAGATCTTTTGAGTCTAAACATAATACATGTATTGTCATAACTTAATGACTCATACTATCAAAGGTACTGTGACAGTGAAAAGCCCATATATAATCACAGCATTTTTAATCAAAGAATAAACAAAAAGTAAGAACAGCAAGGTAAAGAGAAGCCATGTTTTATGCGTCGTTCTCAGCAATAAGCAATAACTAGCAATGAAAACAATAATTCATACATATAATAATATTATAATGAAAAGAATATTTTAAACAACAAATTGTAAAAACAAAATATGCTGAAACAAAAAGCATTAATAACCTTAGTAAATCAAAATGAAACTGAACATAGAGAAAGAGCTTACAATTTGGTTCACCGTAAATATCTGGGAATTGTCTTCTTTCAACCAATCAAACAGCCACATGTCCGTCTCTCGCTCCCTCTCTCTCCTAGCTCACATTCTGAATGTAGTAATGGCGTCCAGGTCAGGCTTTGAAGTAATTCCATTTTAAAGAATCTTCCTGCCTCACGCAAGAATTTTTGGCTAGAGAGTTTTTCGAGACCCCTTGTTCCAAGTAGCAGACACGTGACGCCAATTTTCTGAAAGAGAGACCAATGTAGTATCATCATCATTATCATCCAGTGCCACATCTGCTACAGACATCGTCGGCGATCATGGTTTTCCATTCATTCCTTTGCTCGGATGCTCTCAAAAAAGCTACGTTTCCCTGATCTTTCCCTGTTACCCATTAGTTTAGGTTCCTTAAGTATGTTGTTCTGGGTCTACCCCTGCTTCGCTTGCCCTCAATTTTTCCTCAATTTGCCCTCAATGTAGTATACTTTGACAAAATATAATGCATCACCTCAGTGAAAAAATACTGCAAGGGCACAAAAAGTGTGTGTGGGCGGGGGGGGTG